GACCTGCCCCTCCTGTCAGCTGCTGGTGGCTAGCCAGGGTTGCAGGCAGTCCCCAGGCGGCCTTCCCTCGCGGTGGTTTGGAATTTTCAGCTCATATTTATTGCTTTTGTGAAAGACAATAGACGTGGTTTAATTTAAGTTCAACCTACTGAATATTAATCGAGGAGAACACGTGCTAATATGGGGAGAAGGGAATCTTTGGGCCATTCAATTTCCTCTGTTTAACCTCCTCTGCCAGTGAAGGTATGGGTTTGTCGGAGGAGAGGGGTTGGGGAAAATAAAATCATTTGGTGTCTTTGAAGGAGGGGATGCTGTTTTTGTTGTTTCTCATCAGCTAAAAATAATAATTCAAAAAATTGACGGCAGGGCTTTGTTAGGGAGAAGAAAAGGCAGTGTGCGTTAGCTTGCCTAATGTTCTGATAATGGCTCTTCTGCCCTGTGAAATTGTATTGCATCTTGCTGACCTAGCTCTTGTGGGTTGGGCAGGCAGTATGATTTGGATTAAAACACTCAAAATGAAATGGGGTGGCCACTACACCAGAGGTGTGACAGTAGGTGGGGGGTGGGGAACACAAAAGAAACCCAGGTCTGTCCAGCCATGTAGACTGCTTAACTAAAAATAAATCTTCGCTGCACAGGACGGGAAGACTGAAATTGAAAGTCGGTTGTGTGCAGCACAAATTGGTCTTGGCCCTTCAAAAGGCCGTGAAAAGCCGAGCTGCTTCCATTTGCATTGACAGGCAATCAGTTCCCGCTGTACGGGCCCCAGTTTCCCTGATCAGGAAAGCGAGTCAGACTTCTGTCTCTGAAATGGGTGTGAAATTTCATAATCCGGTTCCTCTGACTTTGCACTTGTCCGACTTTTGGAGGGGAGAAAAACATCCTGTGCCTTTTTACATTTACTTCTTTGTAAGCTTTTTTTCCGTTGAGAGAGAGGGAGAAAGGGATAGAAAGACTCCTAAGCGGCCCCCGCAGTGCCAGAGTGGAGCCAGACAGATCTCACGAACCACGAGATCATGACCTGAGCTGAAGCCAAGAGTCGGACGCTTAACCGACTGAGCCACCCAGGCGCCCCTGAATGCTCTTCCTCCCCCACCAGAGTGCTACTTTTTTTCCCTCAGTATTATTTGCCATTGGCCCACTCTTTGAGCTTTGTGCGAAGTTGTGTAAAGAACCTTCTTTCCCTTCGCAAAAATCCCTGATGAAAGGTGGAAGAATGGCCCAAGAGAACTGTGGGGTTGGACGCCTTACTTTGATTTGTGTCGTGATAGGTTGTGCAGTCCTCTTCGGTTTCCTCCCCTCTGGTTCACACTTGCACAGAGCCTTACAGTGGCTCAGGCCTTCTGGTGTGAACCTTGCTTTCCCCTACAGTAGTGGTTCTCAAAATGTGGGCTGCAGACCAGCCAAGGCAGCAAGCATCAGCATCCTGTGGGGACTTGTGAGAATAGGGACAGGCTGGGGGCGAGGCCCCGGGGACTCTGTTTGGAAACGGGATTCTGATTCATGGTCGAGTTTGAGAATCAGGTGTATAATCTGCCGAGGTGATTATTGTCAGAGGGGCGGGAATATGGCTGTCATTGAACTTTTCTCTGCTAAGTCATTCACTCCCTCACTAGCTGCTTACTCGTGCAGCAAATACGGAAGATCTTGTTCTGTACCGAGCTGCACGGGTCTTCCCCTGCCTCACCTGACTGCATGTAGCCCTCACTTGTTTCCCCCTTGATCCAAATACAGCTTCAAAACAACCCTTCTTCTTCCTCCTCCTCCTTGACCAGCACCACCACTACCACCTGTTTTTGGCTTTTGTTTTTAGGTCTATTGCACATTCCAGGTTGGTGTTCCTTGGTGTAGTGGTTGGAAGCTTGCTTTCTGTCCCCATTGATTCATCTCCACTGTCCTCCCCGTCACTTTTTTCCTTGCCCGACAAGTGCGAGGTGTCTTCTTTGCGCATCCTGACTGATCCGTGTGTGTTTGTCGGTCGACCCCCTCACCTGAATTTAGATTTTGTGTGATGATGCCTGTATCCCCAGGGCCCCGGCACATGGTAGGTGTTAAGAAAATGAACAGGTGATAAAAACTTGAAGAAAAATTACAGAAAAAAGAAAATGAATGGATGAATTTCCATTCCGTCCCTCCCTCTCTTTATTTTCCTTCGTGGACTTAGGGCCATTGGAAAAAATGAGCTCCACCAAGAGTAAGCTTATATTTAAGAGGCCTCTCTTCTATTAATTTTACACGCGGTTCTGTAATTGAGAGTTTTTGTTTTGAATTTCCCGTCCTTTTCAAGTGTGGTCATTCACCCACCTCCACTTTACAAATAGGACGGGTATCCCTGGATCAGTTTCTTAATTTCTGAGTATTGTCTGTATTCATACTACTGTTTTCAGTAGTCTTGCTCCCCACCCTGGGACCTTACTAAAGTGCTCTTTATGTAGTGTAGTTTTATGTAGTTAATACCTATGTTTTGTGTGTAGATTTAGTGTTTTAGAGCTTCATTAAGTAATCTAAAGGCAGGGAAGATTAATTTTCATATATTTGACCGCCCCCCCCAGCCCCGAGAATATATCCCCAAATATTTCAAAAATTTAAATAAAATTGTTGAATGTTCAGCTTTCAGCTGACTTAAAATTAAAAATGATTTCCTTCTCTGGGGCGCTTAGGTGGCTCAGTTGGTTAAACGTCCGTCTTCAGCTCAGGTCACTATCTCCTGGTTCGTGAGTTCAAGTCCCACATCGGGCTCTCAGTGCAGAGCCTGCTTCAGATCCTTTGTCCCCACGTCTCTCTGCCCCTCCCCCATGCACGTTCTCTCTGTCTCTCTGTGTCTCTCTCAAAAATAAATACTAAAAATAAATAAATAAATAAATAAATAAATAAATAAATAAATAAATAAATACTAAAAAAAAAAAAGGCATCTGACTCTTGATTCCAGCTTTGGTCATGATCTCTGCATGCTTGGGATTCTCTCTCTCCTTCTCCCTCTTCCCCTCCCTTGCTTGCACTTGTACACTCTTTCAAAATAAATAAACTTAAAAAACAAATGGTTTCTATCTCCACACTAGCTATATTTCAGATGCTCAATACCTACATGTGACCAGTGGCCACAGGAGTGGATAGCACGGACCATACTTCTGCCCTTCGACTCCTAGACATCCATATAATTAACATCTCCTCTTTGCCTCCCAGCGCAAACTTCCCAAATTTTTTCCTCTTCGGGGGAAGTTGTATATGTTTTCATTTCCATATTGCAGCCCAGCCTCCCACAGCTGCCATGGGATTTATATTTATTGCATCGTATTAGATTGCCAACCGTAGAATATTACTCATTCTCCGAAATGATGTGAAAATAGATAACAAGGGAAGTGTATGCACACACAGGGTTTTGTTGCAACGTACTACGTCCTTTCAGACGACGTTCCCAAATCTGTAGAATCCTGTATTCTGTATAGTGTTGAGTGCCACGAATGGGAACCACTTTTATGTGTTTGACCCGAAAAGGGATTTAACACAGGGAACTAAGTACTTACAAAACATTGGTGGAAGGGTTGGAAGGCCAGAAATCAAGGGGCCACACTGTACTTTTTTGGCCTTGCTTAAAAGCCAAACGCTGATTCCCAGCTGCTGATGCCCATGAGGCTGGTGCCTAGATCGTGAAATTGGGGGCCAGTCACTGTGGACATTTGTGTTGGGGCAAGCTTCCCATTGCTAGGACTTAAGTTGTGTCCAGAACCCGAGATGCAGGAACATCTGCATGCTAGAAGACTGGCCAGGCTTTTTTTACTCAGCTGTCACCCGTTAGTGTGGCTTTAGTGCAGCTTTAGTGCTTATTAAAATACTTCAATATCCCTTGGCACGGCCCCTTCCCTGTGACCTTTCTCCAGTTATTAAAAGCATATCACAGGGGCCCCTGGGTGTCTCAGTCAGTTAAGTGTCCAACTTCATCTCAGGTCATGATTTCACAGTTCATGAGTTCAAGTCCCACATTGGGCTCTGTGCTGACAGCTCAGAGCCTGGAACCTGCTTCAGATCCTGTGTCTCCCTCCCCCTCTCTCTGCCCCTCATTCGTTCATATCCATTCCATCTCTCTCTCTCTCTCTCTCTCTCTCTCTCTCTCTCTCTCTCTCAAAAATAAATACTAAAAAAATTGAAAAAAAGAAATCACATCCTTGGGTGGTCACAATACTCCCTCTTCTGCATGGTGTCCTATATGCAGTTCTAGAGAATCCTTATCCTTTGAGACCATCAAAGGTAAATGTGACTGTCTCCTGTAACGGACTACTAGGAAGATGAAGTTGTGTAGTACGATTTCTAGTTAATAACCTAAGCTGTGGCTCCAAAATAGTGATGCGTTTGCTTGTGTCGTTCCTGAAGGCCATTCCAGAAAGGATTTCAGTGTTTCTGAGAGTATGTCTTCAGCCCTTTGAAGGAAAACTAGTTCAACTCGGTAACACACGAGGTGCCTTTCTTTCCACCACCCACCCCAGCCTCAAAAGATGTTTATGTATTTTGAAAAGAACCCTGCAGTATACTGTGTTACAGAACTCTGCTTGGATTTCTTACTGTTGAAACTACTTCCTGGGCCTAAAGCAGGATGAAGTGTCCCACTCAGAAGGGACCTGTACCCTTTTCTTTTTAAAAAAAAATTTTAAAAACATGTTTATTTTTGAGACATCAGAGTTTGAGCGGGGGGAGGGGCAGAGAGAGAGAGAGGGAGACACAGAATCCGCTGGCTCCAGGCTCTGCCCTGTCAGCACAGAGCCCTACCCGGGGCTCAAACCCAGGAACCACGAGCTCATGACCTGAGCTGAAGTCGGACACTCAACCGACTGAGGCCCCCCCCCCCCACCCCCCACCCCAGGTGCCCCAGGACTTGTACCTTTTAATCCTGTTCTTCCCAAATTCTGGTCTGTCCTCATCAGCCGTTGTGTGAGGGGTAACTGTGGTAAAGCGCTGCTTCCTGATGTCATGTGTTTTAAGTGTTTGTCCCCTTTTCTCACCTGTAGGGCTCCTTGGTCATGGCCAGTCTAAGGGATTAGGACCAGCGTCAGAACAGTCAGAGAATGAGAAGGACGATGCATCCCAGGTGTCCTCAACTAGCAACGATGTTAGTTCTTCAGATTTTGAAGAAGGGCCGTCGAGGAAAAGGTTAGTACCCAAGGCTGAAAATGCTGACGCCTTAAACCAGGGACCTCAAACCAGGCGCCAGGTTTTCCCACAGGGAACACACTCGGGCCCCCTCACCCTGCCTCCTGGTTTTCTCAGAGGAGCCAGGGTTCTGGATGTGTCACAGCCCATGTCCTGGTTTCTAAGTATTGTCCACCAATTGTCATGAAAAATGAACACACTTCAGCAAATGATCTGGGCCTCACAGAACCTCTTCTTGGCCTGAGAATTGGCCCTGAGGGTTTACCGACTTGTAATTCTTATCTTCACTGATCCTTTTCATCGACTCTCCCGTTTGTGGAGTCCATTCAATGCTATTTCTTTTTGCCATGTCTGAGGAGAGCCGTTCCTAACCGCGTGAAGAACGAAATGTGGTGTTTCTGAAAATTTTCTCCCTCCTCAGGAAAGCAGAACGGCTTGGTGTTCAACTCTGTCAGCAGTGGCGGAATCATTCATGAAACTTTTAATTTACCAGGTTTTTATTTTTTATTTTTTTTTAATTTAAGGACTTTCCTGAATAATAAGCTTGTGAGAGTTTGATAGGGAAGTTGGCTATGAGAGCTTGATAAGCTTGTGGTTTCCTGGTCAAACAGCAGCAGTGACATTATATAATGCTTTTAGTCCGGTGTTTCAAAATCCCCTTGCTGATCACCTGCCTTATTTCATTCCTCATGTGTTGTGTTGTGTCCCTCCCCTCCCTTTAGAATTTATATTTCATTTTTTCTTTCTTTCTTCCTTTCCTCCCTTCCTTCCTTCCTTCCTTCCTTCCTTCCTTCCTTCCTTCCTTTCTTTCATTTTTTCTTTCTTCCTATTCTCATACTTGTGATTTTCCTGGATGACTCGATTAAGGACTTTTTCTTAGAACTTCCGTCGTGTGAGAGGTTGGGGAAAGGGGGAAAAAATCCCCTTTGTCTGGTTGCCTCTGTTTTACTCTTTCTACAGAATTCTAAATTACCTTTCGGAAATGATCTAGATGCGTGTATCTAACAAAGAACTGAACAGAGTGGAAATTAAGAGGAAAGGAATGGATTGGCCATGGGTTAGGTATTCCAAATCCTTAACAGAACTGGACTTTGGTCTGAACGTTGACGTGATCGCTCAGTCTTCTTGTATTTGCCTCCATCATGCAGTGTCTTCGTTCGGAAAACCCGTGTTGCATTTTCTCTTAATTCTTGGCACTGCGTCTGAGAAGAGGTCCCAGATTTGTTATTAGTACACTCAGTAAGCATATGTAAGAAGTTTCTCTGCCAGTGTATTGGGCCTTGCAAGTTACTTACTCTCTTTACAGACCCTTGGGTGAGTGTCTCAGCGACAAGCCTATTACATTTCAGATACTGGGCCACAAACACTCTCGCTCTGCCCCAGTTTGAGAAATGCATCCTCACAAGAGAGGGAATTCGAGAATGTGTGTTATAAATCCCCTCAGTAAATATATTGGAACGTGTAATGATATTATCCATGCTTGCAAACATGGGTGGGTGGTCATGCATCTGGCATCTTTCATCACTGTTTGGGGAGCAGAATTCTATGAGTGGGGTTGGAAATGTCAGTCCCCGCTCCTTTAGCCGCATGGCTGTCAATCACTCTCACCTCCAGAAAGATCCTGCCAGCATGGGGGGGTGGTGCCCGAGATCAGTCGGTTTCATTCTCTTGGTCGGTTTCATTCTCTTGGTCGAAGGGGGTCGCTGGCCCTTTGTCCTTGACCCCAACGCCTTTCTCCGGTGCTGCTGGCCTCCTCTTTGCACGGTGCTGTGTAGTAGCTGTGCAGCAGCTGTATGCAAATCAGTCCTTTTAACTTTTGTTCTCCAGGACAGTGGAAAAGAGAAATTTTGTTCAGGGTGAATCTCAGGAAAACGTGACCATCGCTAATCTGCTTTAATTAGTGTGCCAAGTAACTTGTTTTACGGGATTAAGGATTCATAGCTGCATTTCATTTGGTTATAATCACACTCTACTCAGTGAAATCCATCAGGGACATAATGTAGGTTATGGTTTGACAGGTTAGGTTAGATTTCGGGCTGGTCTGGGGTGGTCTGGATTTTGACAGGAGGTGGGGGGGCTTTGTAGTTTACCAATAAATAGGTGGGGTAGTTAGGGCTAAAATTTCTTGCAGGGTTGTAGGGTACGTCGCAAATACAAAATAATAATGCTTTCTGGCTTTCAAAGAGCTCGTTTGTTTTGATCTCTACTTCATTGGTATTTGGCATGAACCGTGCCTTCCGAGACACATCGTTAGAACTGGAATCTGAATTCCTGGGGCTTTGTCAGCGCTCTGCCAGACTTCAGTGCTCAGCCTTCCTTTATCTTACACCTATTAGACCTTTTTAAATAATCGAATAGGGTGTCGTGTAGTGTGCTGTCTCTGCTGATGACTGGTCAAGCTCAGAGTACCTGCCTAAGGTTGTTGTTTCCAAATGTCACTTGGAGCATTTGGTGGATTGTTGATTAGACGCTACTTTTTACCGTGTGTCTAACGTTCCCTGAGCCTTGTGTATATGTGTGTGTGTATAGTCGAGAGGAGCAAATTTTGTGATGGACCACTTGGGTTCTCTGTAGGCATTTAGACTGTGTGGGACAACACACGGAATCCTAAACTTGGAGGGCCATGATTTATGTCTTTGCTCTGAACACAGCCTTCTCTTTGAGAATTGCTAGCCATTCTTGTACAGTTAACTGCTCTTCCTAAATACATGGTTTTTAGGATCACCACTTAATATGCCTTTTGTCTTGGGAGTGGAGGGAAGAGGGAATTTGTGTTTGAGTTTCGTAAGAAAAATTAAGATACAAAGTGTAGACTAGGCCAGCCTCAGTTAGACGTTGCCTTGAGTTTCCAACCTGGAAATGGGAGCAATTCCATTTTCTGATGATGCCTGTCTTGTGATTTTCAAGTGTTCAGTGCAAACATCTCATGTGTTTACAAAGTGTTATTTTTGTACAGGAGCATCTCCCCCTCCCCCCTCCCTGAGCTACATTTGGCCCTGTGTACTTGGTGCCATTGGTTTTACTGGACATTGGGGATCTTTTTGGCATACAGAAAGCAAAAGAATCCAGAGCTCTAAAGGACTTATTTTTTCTTTATTGAGGCAAACATGAAAGGTTTCCAGCCATCGGAAGGTAGTCCTCTGAAATCTTTGTCCGCTCTTTGTAAAACAAAAGCCACCCTCTCTAGAAGCCCTTTGCCTCTTTGATGGACACGACATCCCAGCCACTGATGATCTCTGGAGGACTCTGAGCTGGTGGGAGTCCCTACCTGTTGATTTTCCTTGTCTTTTGATCATTGGGGTGGATGCCATTAAAAGATACACATTAATGTAGCGTTAATGTTCAGAACGGAAACATTATAGAAACTTTGAGCTTTTAATCAGCACCTTCGGATTCCGATGGTGGCCATGCCTACCTGGTTCCTTTCCCTCCCCATCCTGTTACACGGACAGTGCCTGTCCTGTTACTTTTTGCAGGGCACGCAAGTTTTACGAGAGTCAAGTGTATCTGAGTATTTTTAGAAGCCAGAATGGACAGATTCTGTCAGTCAGGTGTGGAAAGACTCAGATGGTGATGGGAATATGGATTACTTTTTAGGAACAGTGAGGACTGGAGTTAGACTATGTGGCTTGTTGTTTGGGCCCAGCATCTATTTGTCCCGTGCCTTTGGACAGGTTCTTGTAGCATTGCTGGGCTGCAGTTTCCTTATTTGTTAAAATATCTTTTTTTTTTTTTTTTTTTTAATGTTGATTTTTGAGACAATGTGAGAGACAGAGTGCAAGCAGCAGAGGGGCAGACAGAGGGGGAGACACAGAATCCGAAGCAGGCTCCAGGCCCTGAGCTGTCAGCCCAGAGCTCGACGCGGGGCTCGGACTCCCGAACCGCGAGATCATGACCTGGAGCTGAAGTCAGACGCTCAACCGACTGAGCCACCCAGGCACCCCTAAAATGTCTTTTTAAGAGTAGTAACCACCTCGTGGTGGTTTTGTGCACCACACAAAGTGAATTTGTGAAGAGCCCCTAGGTATGTGATGCATACCATGTATCAGATGCTGTGTTATTAGTGATCATTGCTGAATGACACCTGAATTGTACGTGAGCATGGGCATTTATTGGGAACTTCTCAAACACATTTTAGAGGAATTTTGATTTCTACAAACTGCGGTAATCACTGTGGTGACACTGTCACCACCATCTGTGGGCAGATGGAAGAGTGTAGGCGGGTATCTCTTCTAAAGTTCCTGAGTCACAGGAAGGGACCCTATGGCTTTTAGTGTGGATTTCCTCCACGGAGGTTGGCGTAACCAGGTTATTTGCCCTTGTGAAGCAGTCCTGAATGGGATGAGGTTCAAGGTTGCAAAGATGGGCTGTTGGTGAGCAGATTCCGTCTCCACCATGCACCTTGCTGCCAGGGAGGCTTCTGTTTTGCTAGTACCAGTGGCTAAGATCCTGGACTCACTTTGAAAGAAAACTCTAATAAGAGAGTCTAGTGAACTAGCACAAAGGGTGGGGGGGGCAGGTTTCTTGTTAAAGAGCTTAGGCCATTGATAATACAAGACTCGAGTTCACAGATCATCCCACTGCAGTGGATTCGGTTTTGAATAGGAGAATCATCTTAAGAGGGAGGATGCCATGACTTAGGTGCATTGAGTTTCTGGTTACAAATACGTGTTGAAGATGGTGAGCCTTCTCCTGGGCTTTTGGAATAGGTATTCCTTTCATAGCTGAAGAGTCAGTACGGATGCGTTCCTCATTTCTGTTCTGAGTTACTTGGGTGATACAAGATACTTTTCTACCTCCAGATTTGGAAGGAGGATAGGTCCAAATGCATAGCGTTCTTTCTTGGCACTATTAGGCATTGGAGTTATTCACTGTGAACATCCTGAAGAATTAGAATTTTTAAAAGTCTAAATGTTTGCTTCCCTTTAACAAAATGCATTATTAGTCCAGTTTAATTCTTAATTTTTTATTTTTTAAATGTTTATTTTTGAGAGAGAGAG